GTTAAGATAGTAGTTAACTTCAAGATTATGACTGGGAAGAGGCATATGAACAGTTGCTAACAATGTTTATTTCTGGGTGGTGGCTCCATGGGCATTCGCTTTAAAATCATTCATTAAGCTATACACTTATGTTTCATGCACTTTCTCAATTATAAAAGGTTTAAAAAGTAAAACAAAATTATAAAAATTACTAGAGAAATACCATCAAGAAATCAGACAGGTAGAGAGAATGATGGGTCTAATTACATAAAAATTTTAAACAGTACAAGTGGTAACTCTCAGCACTAGCTAGGATACTCAGAAATAGGAACTGCCACATGACATGGGTAATAAGCAAACTACAGACTGCTTGGCATTATATATCAAAAACCTCAAATATGTGCACACCTCTTAGCAAGGATATACACCCAAATCTTAAGGAAGTAAAGATGTCAATAAAGACTTGACTACAAACAAGCTTGTGATAATAATAATATTGCATTACTTATAATGAAAAAATTAAAGTGTATTACTAAAACATAGTTCATTCATCCACATATCCATTAGTAAATATTTACATTATCATCTAAAGATTTCAGAATATGCTAAAAGATACATTATAAAATACATTCAATATTATTTTATCTTTTAGAAATATACAACACAGATAATGTGGAAGTTATACACCAAAATGTCACAAGTTGTTTTCGTCATGGGAGGTGAAGTAAGATTGTGTTGCTTTTAATTTTCTTCTGTTTTCTTAATCTGTATTTTCCATTTTTTCCATAATAAAGGAGAAAGTTTCTTTTTAAAAAAAAATAAGCAGTTGATAGTATGTGCCCTCAGTATGATGTGATGAAAATGGAACCTCATCTCTGTGGTCTTCCTCCACAAAACCCCCGAGAAAACCGATCATAAAACAAACATCAAATTCCAAGAGGGGATTCCTATAAAAGACCTGACCAGTATTTCTCAAAACTGTCAAGGTCATCAAAAACAAGGAAAGTTAAGAGGAACCTAAGGAAACATGACTCCTAACCTGGCATCCTGGATGCAGTCCTGGAACAGAAAAAGGACATGAGGTAAAAACTGAGGACATCCAAATAAAGTATGGACATTAGTTTCTAATAATGTATCACTATTAGTTCATTAATTGTAACGAAGGTACCATGATGGTATAAGATGTTAACAGAAGAAAATGAGTATGGAGTATAGAGAAAATCTGTACTAATTTTTCTGGTTCTCTAAAACTGTTCTAAAACACTAAAGGTAGTTCTAAAAAAAATAAATAACAGTATCTGAGTTTAATTTTTTGCTGTTTTTCGGTTTCTGGTGATTCCAAACGAAAGGTTAGAATGCATATACATTGTATGTATACACACACACACACACACACTTATACAGAGAGACAAAGAATGAACAAAATATTAGGCTTTTTTAGGCGTTATAAAAGGAGTTCCTTGCAATACACTACATATTTATCAATACACACAACTTTTGTATATGTTATATAATGTAAACATGTCTGTATAGATCTCATCTATTTAAACCACTCCTATGGAAATAGAGATGTAAAATAAAATAGAAATATAATAACATAAGAAATATAAAATAAGTTAGAATGCATTTTTCTAAGCTATATAAGATGTGCGCTTTTAGCAGAACGCTTATTTTGACTCAGTTAACAAATTAGGCATCCCTAATTTCTTTTCTTACTGAATGTTGACCACTGAAATAGCACATCATGTACTCCTAGAGGGAGCCAAGTCAGAGAGCAGAGAAAAGCGCTTGCTAAAATAATTTTCTCTTCTTTCCCAAAAGGGAAAAAAATCAGCAGTGGTGACCAGTCCTGCTGAGTTCTGTGGAAGTTGGTTCCCCTAAGTCCAAATAAACTGTAGTCCCTTATGAAGCCTGCTGAGAAGACCAAAGGGAAAAGGCATTCCACTTGTTAAATGTTTATTATTTGAGCTTCGCAGCCAACTATAATAAGGGAGAGGGAAGCTGTCTGCAAGCTGCATGCAGATTTAGCTACTCAAGTTCCATGAATGTGAAATAGAACACTGAGGCTAAACCCTTAAAATTTACTAGGCAGTAGCTTGAGGGAGGTGGTAGCTGAGAATAAAAGCTTGGAGCCGCTAATATTTGGGTCAGTGATTTGAAAGCAGCTCAAGTCAACACAGGACTAAAATTCTCGACACTGGGAAAACTGTGGCTTCCTCTCGTTCTAAGAATCACAATACAGCAGAGAAAAAGTACAAATCTCTTCTCTCCTATACCTCCTCTCACTCTGAGAGGATTCTCAGATTCTTATCTGAGGAGTGGCAACCCTTTTACTGTGACAGTGACATGACTATGATAGTGATGTGAGGTCTCAGGTTGGTTATCTATAGGCATGTGCTTTAAGTTACTGTAGGGTTTTGGTTAGGAGTATGAATTAAATACAAAGGGCAGAAGCAGAACACATTAAACATCATGATGAATTAAGTCTACTTGAAAAAGTATACATTATTTTTATATAACATATATATGTATTATTTTCCAAATTCCCAGGCTATTTATTGTACAAGTTACAACCAGAGAAAAATCTTTTTTGACATGAACTAAATCATTAATCCTCTGAAATGCAAGACAGAAAGAAGAAGGAAGTCAAAAGCAAAAAGGTTTGTCATGTAAATAGGACAGATTTACAGGACAGTATGGTTTGGGGCTCAAGTATGGTTCTGCTGCTAATATAGCGTGTCCTCTTGGGCAAAAGAGTTCGGCTTTGGTTGGTTTTCCCAACCCTGAAATGAAAATACAGATCTGATGTTTCCCCAAGGCTGAGATGAGAATCAAAACTTTTTACATGATATATGTTGAGTTAAAAGAGAATTAATATGAAAACTGGATCAACGGTATATTTTAACCAATCATCTATTAAATAATAATAGCAATAGTTATCAATGACTAAATGCCTACTAAGTGCAAGAACATTTTATATGAGGTCCTTTATATTCATTATTTATCTTAATCCTCACTTTAACCCCCAAGAGATATCTATAATCTACTTAATAGAAAAAACCTGATAAGAAAACAGGCTCAGAAAAGCCAAGGAACCTGCCCAAGATCACAAAGCTAGTGCTGAATGGCAAAACTACAAATCAAAACAAAATCTGCATCTCAAGACCATGCCCTTTCCACTAGCCATTCAGAATTAATCTGGCATTAACAGGAAATGAGGCATTCACAGCAGTAAATTTCCAGATGACCACATTTTAACTTCAAAATTGTATGTAAATCTGTCTAAAAAATATAACACACACATCCTTTTTCTTCAATAACTCAAGATCGTGATTGCAGACATTTTGAGGCAGATCGCAGCTATAGTTGCTGTCGCCCTCTCCTTGCTGAGGTTGAGCTATCTGAGTGAAACACTGGTAGTACCTCTCCCAATCCCCTTCCCCAGCTACTCGGCAGCCAGGAACTCAGATAACTCCTGGGGTCCAAACAAATCTAAGTCAGTAAGGCCCTGTGATGAGAGCCTGAAGGTGGTTCCTGCTAAACACACCACATATTCTAGTTCTGCTCTTTGCTTCTTAGCTTCCTTCTGGATCGTAGCTGTAATCTGTCAAGGTGAGAGTCCCTAAAGACTGACCGCCAAACAAATGAAGCCTTATTAAACTAAACCAACATCTTGTTTCACCTTACTTCCTGATCACTTTAGATTTCAATTTTCTAAATGTCATCTTGTTTCGAAAAGATCATACTATGAACATACTTAACTTCTAAAACCTATTGTAGAGCAAACCCTTCAGGAGATACGTACACCTGTATTTAGTTGCAGGATACCTGAAACACAACAGGTCGTAAACACTCTCACGAAACTTAGTCTGAAATTATAAACTGGACAGTGATGGTGTGGCATCTGGATGCATTTGAGGAAGGCTTTCCTTAGCCTAAATACAATCTCTTCCAAATACCCACGTTTCATCCGTTTCCCACACCCAGGAGAAGGAGTGACTGGATAAATGCCTCTCTGTACATCAAGGATAACATTTAGCACACAGCACGTAGTGGCCCACAAGTATGTCTCCCTCTCCTCATCCAGGCAAAACGTAAACTCCCTGGAGTCAGGGAGGGTTTCATCCTCGTCTTTCATGCTCTACTCCCAGAGCCTTGCATAGCGCTTCCCAAACCGCAAGTGCCTCCAGAAAGTACATCCTGTCCTCCATTCATTTGTGAAGCGTTTAAAGGTACCAAAATGTGTTCCTCTTTTACCATCCACTCCCTCCCCACATGGGTTCCTGGAAGGGATGATAAGACACTCCTTGCCAAGTATTGAAGTATTATACCTCTGTGTTAAGCGGAAGTATAAAAGACAGCATCCCTATTTTAAGATTAAGGTCTCAGTAACGTTCCTAGGGAAAATTAATGCTTAATTTTCTCATATGCCATTGATAAATGCCATGTACCTGCCTTCAACACGCGGTATGAATAAAAATAATATGTCCTTGCCTTAATAACAGAGCAGATACATAACCTCAGTTGTAGAATTTACTCTGTGTGTTTTAACTTTAATCATTTCCACCTTATTGAAACTGATGTGCCTACTGGTACTGAAGACAGTACAAGATCAATAGTTGAAGTTTCTGTTCATTTTGACTTCAGACATTTACACTTCATTAGAAACGACTGAAGCATACTGTCCCACATTCAAGAACCCCTAGTTAGCTCACCATTTCATGCCTTGTGCCACTTATTTACTCGTATCGTCAGTATTATTAACGCAGGTTCTTCTATGTAAACTGCTTTTTTAATGTTTATTTATTTATTTTGAGAGAGAGAGAGAGAGAGAGAGAGAGGGGGGCAAAGACAGAGGGAGAGAGAGCATCCCAAGCAGGCCCCACTCTGTCAGCACAAAGCCCGCCATGGGGCTCGATCCTACCAACCATGACATCATGACCTGAGCCAAAATCAAGAGCTGGACGCTTAACCAACTCAGCCAGCCAGGCGCCTCATACGGTAAACTATTTTCTTAATACCTCTTCACTTTGGATTTTTTCCAGTTGACTTTTTTAATACCCAAATCCACATATGATTCAGTGAGTTCTATATTTAATTCTCCTTCTGAGTCACTTGGAAGTATTCCTAATTTTGCAGCAGATTCGTAGAGTGCAATTTCATCTTTTAGTTCTGTTAATTCTTCCTAAAACACAAAATTATTGAAAATTATTTTCCAATATGAAGGAATCAGTCATCCCTCTGTGCTTCAAAATTCATCTTAACGATCAACAGAAACCAGAAATACTTCTTCACATACCTTATTTACATTACAAATAACTTTAAAATAAATGCTGCTAAGAACACAGGTGTACAATGAAAACATAGATGTCTGCAACTTTAGAAAGGCCAGCACATTATCAGGTTCTCAAGTACACGGACTGAACAGATGTGTAAATGAATGAGAGAGCAAATCTAAGTGGTTTCTCTCACGCCTCCTGTGCTTACATTAGGTCCTCCACAAAAAGTGTCTGTCCCTTGAGCTGAGAAACTGACGGCAGCACTTTTTGGCTTTCTAGAGCTCAGAGCGGCCTGGTCTGCCAAGAACGTGTTGTACTTGACTCTGCCGGTGGGAAAAGGCAAAATACGTCTTTCCAGCAGAGGTAATACTGGAACTCTTCCTCCAGTGGAAAATGTAAGTCGCGCTGGGGGAGGATGTGAGGGAACTGCAGCTACACTGCGGGTTTCCCACACCTGCGGATACACTTATCTCTGCGACCACCAGTAAGTGAAAGGACATGCTGTGTGAAGGAGGTGACAGGCAGACGGACAGGAGGGTGCCAGGCCCTGGCTCCGCAGTCAAGACAGACCTGGGCTCGACTACCTCACTGTGTGGGTGAGACCGTGAACAACTCTCATTGGCCTGGAGACGGTCCAACCAGCTCCAACCAGCTCCTTTAGAGAAATCCAAGGTCCAGAAAAGTGACGTAATCACTGCCTAATTCAGTTACCCACAGAGTCTCTTCCAAGTGGCAACACTCACTTGCAAAGCCTTGTTCATGTTTTCACTCATAGCATGTGCTTTTTGTGCTTGCTGCAGCTGGAACCGTAGCTGAGCCACCTCCTGTACTGAGCCTGGGGGGGGAAATCAGAGAATGCACCAAAGGTAAAGGGATGAAGAACCTACGATGTACAGAAGAACTTGAATCCGCTGAGGCTACAGAAGGTGGAGTCCTGCTTTGTTACCTTGTTATTGCCTTTCTAGGAGGACAGAGGTATAGTCAGTGGGACCGAGAAGGCATAGGTCCAGACATCTCCGAGACATGTCCACACATTTAGTGTGGCTCCTCATATGTCCTTGGGAGGTTGAAGACCTGGACTACTGTGACCTTGCTATGAATCAAATGAGCCACGTCTACAGACCTTAACACTCCACAAGCCCTTTAATAGGAGCATAATGTTCCAACTCGCAGAAAGCCAAAACAAAAATTCTTTGGAACCCGTTGCTACCCTCTAATAAGAAAACTACATCTTGCTGCCTTTAGCTTCTTTCGAAATGCTTTTATTTCCACCACCCCCACCTCCACATGTGAAAAAAGCATCTTAGGGCTGTGTTTCAGAAACTTTGGTAACCTAATGTTTTAAATGTACTAGGGGAGGCTCCCATTTGAAAGGGATGTTACTGGGCTTCCTCAAAAGAAAATGAGCATCTGGGAAATGGTTAGGCAAAGTAATGATGGCATATTATGCAACTAAAGAAAATCATATTTCAAAGCCTTTAATGGCAAGGAAAAAGGCTCACTAAACAATGCCACGTGAAACAAAAAGGATACAAAACTGAAGAGGGAGGAGGGACCCAGAGTACGAGCCAAATTTTGCCCCCACCAAAACATACCCACACACATATTTTAAGAGTCTTTGACTTTAGTACTTCCAACTTTTGAATAAGCTACTCTTATACACATTGTACTAACAGTCTGAATTGGCTTTGCGTGCCAAAGTGTGACTTTTGCATATCAGGTAATGAATAACCACTGAGCTATTTTCACAGTGGGAGCTACTCACCAGCAAACAGGGCAGTTTGTCTGTATGGTAGTGTTTGCATAAACATGTGATTATTCTATTGCCTTTTACTCTAATATTCTACAAAAATTAATAAGAAAAAAACACAAAACTACTGCTGAACCTAACGATAAGTATGTCCCAAACTTAACACCATGAAAACCAAATGAGTAATTTTAAGCATGACAAGAATATAACTCACTAGCTTCAACTGGCCAGATAAATGAGAGAGGAAAAAAATCCATGGAGTTTTACAAAACGATAGAAATACATGCTCAGACTGAGCTTAAGAAGCAAAATATAATGGGACTTCATAGTCATTTTTACTTTTCATGGATAGAATCTACCTTCTAACATAGATCTTGTTCAATTTTTGCACATTCAGCTTTGGTATGTTTTCAAAAATGCGCTATGTGCAGAAGTAGGGAATTACCTATGTGTGTGAGCTCAATTTCACTTGAAGGAAATATATTCAAACATTAACAACAGTTATCTCTGTGTGGTAGGATTATTGGTTATTTTTATTTGTTACTTTGCACATTAAACACATATAATAGCAACACTTGAAAACTGTCACTGGTGGTCTTTTCTGCCTTTCTCGATTTTTAGAATTCATGGATCCTACTACATTCTCTTTGCATATTATGCTAGCCTACTGTGGAGACAAGAGCCCACCCAGGGCACCCACCTGAGTGCAAAAAGTTGGCACACTGCTTCTGACTCTCCTCTAGACTTCTTGTCAATCTGTTAATGATCTCAGTCTTTTCTAATTTGGTCGCTTCTTGATTCCTTTCCAATTGGTTCACTTGGTCTTTCAAATGACAACAAATATCTTCCTAAATAGAAAGTATTCAAGAAGTCATTTCATGATCCGTTGTTAAACGTTAAACAAATATGATACACAATTGGATTTTAAGTCAAATATAAAATCACACAGCAGCATCACCTCTTTTACAAGGTTAAGTGCACAGGACTGGGAGGAAGTTAGAACAAACTTGTATGATCTTGGGTGAGTCATCAACTTCTCCATCTGTTTTTTTCTGTTGTAATTATGCTAATAAAGGTTAAATTCAATGATTTCTAAAGTCCCTTCTGTTCTATAATCACAAGACACTGATATTCTAAAATTAGATTTTATCCAAGCCAAAGAAAATATATTACACTTCTATTTGCATTTTACACTGTCAGTATAAGTGTATGTATTCATATTTAGGCAGACCACTTTGAACCATGGACTCTGTATCCCAAGACAGGAAGGATACAGATACATAAATGGAAACTCACTCTATTCTGAACAGCCAAAAGCTCATTCTACTCTGAGTAGCCAAAAACAAATCTCTCCCTCTTCTGAATTTCTTTTATACAGTTTCTCTTTTTCTTTCTACCTTTTACATGTCTTATTTCCTTCTTTTTCTTACTTCTACAGGTACCTATGCAGTGCCTTGCACAAAGTGAGGTATAAAAACAAACAAACAAACAAAACAAAACCTTGAAAAACAAATGCAAAAAACCCAGATGGGACAAATGTGTGTGTGCGTGTATGTGGGTGCGGGCACACGCATGCACTCATGTGTGTAGCTGTATGGGGATATGTAGAAAATGCAGAGCACGTATATAATATACTCAAGTTTCTTCAAAAAGAAAAATGTGTTTGGGAGTAATAAGCCACAGGAGTCCCAAGCCTAGGTAGAAGAAAGCATCACTTCTCACTCAAAAAAGCCTATATAGGCTGAATTCCACACAAATAGCAGAACATGAGACAGCCAGGAGTATATTAAGGTAAATGGTTAAAGTCACCTGAAAAAGCCTGAAGAAAATAAGTTGTAATAAGGGCTTTGAAGCAGACAGAAGGCATTTAGGGCCTGATCCACAGGATAATGTAAAGCCCAATAATGCTTTCAGGATACTAACACAAGGGACACCTCATTAAGGATAGCGACAGTATCGTTAAGGAGAGGAAAGAGACTCTCAAGTCTCCTGTTTTACCTCAAAAATTCATGTGAATTTTGCATTCTCTTTCATAATGTAGTCATGTTTGCTTTAAATTTTTTTCTACCAAATTTTTGAGCAAAATGAAGCTTCTGGAAACTACTCCATGTTTATTCAACAGTGCAAACCTCTTGGCTCTTGGCTGCTAATTCCCAGGCCAGCTTGAAAAGCGTGGCTCCAAAGTGCCAAAATACCATGGCAAACACGATGAATGGGCTAACGTTAATGACAGTGTGAATGTGTGTGTGAGAAGGGGTGGGGAGACAACCAACATTTACTTATGTGCTGGGGAGGCTACGATCACTCTTGTAAGAGACTGAGAACTGGCAAAAAGTTAGTTCAAGAAAGGGTATGAAAAAAACTATATAAAGAAATGGCCAACTGTAGCAATAACTTGACTATATGCAACAATCAACTAAACCATGTTGTTTCCTGTTAACAAGTTCAGGGAGCCAATTACACTCAGAAACCTGTGCAGTTCAAATACCAAGAAATGAACAAAACATGGTTCTATGTTTTCCATGAGTAGATTGAGTAAGAACATTCAGTTCCAGACAGGTAAAGGCAGACACCCCCTAAGAATGACGAAGACAAGTGTGGTGATAAAGAAATAGTAGCTGAATCTATCTTTGGAAGCAAATGGAATTGAACAGGTTTCTAAAGCACAGAAAAATGAGGATTGGGCCACACACACATAGGTTTGTGGGGACCTCTTAGCTAAAGAAAGTGTTTAAACTGGAGCCTTTAAATCTAACATTAAAGGAAAGTTAGAAAGTAGACCAGGTGAAAGTCATGACATAGAAACCAAAGTCCACAACTTCACCTAAAGGTGAAAATTTCAAGAAGACTGAAAAGAAGAACGGTGTTATACAATCAAGGAGATAATCCCAGATCTTAGCCCTATATTCAGAGATCTCAGAACATGACACTTCCATGAACGGGAGAGACAGAAGACAGGAAGGTCCAAGAGATGGTTTGCTATTAGAGAGTTCTGTCCCTGAAGGAACACTGAGCTCAAGAAGCTTCTCCCTCATCTGCTCTGTCACACTAGAAAACCTAAGAGGAACTCAGCCATAGTAAAAAGAACTGTTATACGTTGAGAGTGTGTACAATCCTTTTTACCTACAAAAGATGACGGCTTCAGGAAGGCACTAGATGAATAATATAATTTCACAAGCTATATATTTCTCAAAATATAGTAGCTACATAGACATTTTAAGAAAAAAACCTCAACTGCATCATGGATTGCTACTCCTCCCACTACATGAATCAATCCCTGTGTTGCATTTGGTCTTTCAAAATATAATTAAATATACATTAAAGCTTTTTGGGATGAGCACTGGGTGTTGTATGGAAACCAATTTGACAATAAATTTCATATATTGAAAAAAATAAATCAATAAAAATAAATAAATAAATAAATATACATTAAAGCCTGTTTACATCCTGATATTTAGCTGTTGTTCAAAAGATGTTTGCTTAACAGATGAAATAATACGATTAGCACACAGATGTAGTCCTTTCCCACCAAAAACAAGTTTTTCATAAAACAGTGAATTTTTAACCTTTGCAAGGCAAAGCATGAGCCTCTTATGAGGAAAATCTGAATGAGTTTGTGGGTCTTCTCAAAAACAAAAATGCATATGCCAACATCCAAAAGAAAACCATACCCACAATTTGAGATTCATCAAAGCCATGGAGCCTAGTCATGAACTGCCTTAGGGGACGCCAGATTAAAAGTCTGTATAACTCACACAACGTACTATGTGTGAAAATCTATGCTGTTGCCACTGTACACATACAGTACAAAGCACATAGGGACACAGCTGTACCTAACTGCGTGAATAAGTTTGCTTACTCAAGTTCATCTGCTAAATTATCCAGCTATTTGTACCTCACTACTATTTTCCAAGAGTTGTTCTACTTTTCTCGGTAATATGCTGAATGGAGTACAGGAAAAGGTTTATCTGAAAGTGAAGAAAAGTGCACTCTGGGGCACCTGGATGGCTCAGTTGGTTAAGCGTCCGACTTTGGCTCAAGTCAGGATCTCCCGGTTCGTGAGTTTGAGTCCCACGTCGGGCTCTGTGTTGACAGCTCAGAGTCTGGAGCCTGCTTCGGATTCTGTGTCTCCCTCTCTCTCTGCCCCTCCCCTGCTCATGCTCTGTCTCTCTCTCTCTCTCAAAAATAAAATTTATTTAATAAATTTTAAATTTAATAAAATTAAAATTTATTTAATAAACATTAAAAAAATTTAAAAAAAGAAAAGTGCACTCTGAAATTTTATTTATTCAAATGATTACCTGGGGTTTGGGAGCATAAGTAAACCCACCACCTGACTCACCCTTAGTTTACATTTTATTCACTTTGGGGCAAAAATAATTCAAACTGTGAGAGATGCTGAGACTTTCCTCCTTATTTTGTTTATTACACTACTCTCAAAAATTAACTCTTCTCCCAATAACCACTTGTAGACAATGTTTACTCACAGGTTAACTACCCAACAAAGGCTTTCTACTGGTTAAACTCCCAGGACAACCTCTAAAGTTCAGGCCAGCTCCTAGAGCACTAGCCTTTTCAGTCTGGATTTACTCTAGGGCAATAATTATGTATAAATACTCTACAAATAAAGGACCGGTAGGTAGGAGAACTGAGAAAGTACTAACCAATCCTATCAAAGAAAAAAATTTCCAAAATTCTGTCCACAGGACATCTTCATAGATTAAAAATCTTTGGCTTTTAATTTTTACTCACAAACACCTACTGCAAACATCCAAATTTTCCATATGAAGAACCACAAAGTATCAGTTATGAAAAATAACCAGTTTTACTTGTTAATGACAGTGGCTCATTTGAGATCATCCCAACCTGCTCCTTAAGTGCAGTGACTGTAGCATCCAGCTTCCTTTGCAAGGACGACAGTTGCTCCTCATGCTTCTTCGTGAGGCCCGTAACAATGCTGTCGTGCTGCTCTCTCACACGCTGGAGTGACTCAGAATGATGGAGGTCCAGCAGCTGCTGCTTCAGGCTTTCCAGAGCCATTTCCGTCGTTCTGGACTTCTTAATCATCTAGAAGGTACACACAGGACATCCAGGTTTACAATATTTTGACTCTGTGCTCTCTTTATGGACATTAAAACTCAACCATCCTTTAAGGAGAATAGAGAAGAAAGGGTCTCCCTATGGTGGCTCTAGTTCCTTAAAACTTCCCTAGCTGGGACTCCCCAGGCCCATGGTCGCTGGAAACATCATTCACTGAGAAAAAAACCTATAGTTACCTGAGGAGAGTGACAGAGGATTTTGCTTAGCATGATGGCAATGTGGGTACCAGACAAGGAGTCTGTGGCTACAACACTGGTCCCAGTACTGTTTGCATCTCTCTGAGCCCAGTGGGGGTGGGGGGGACCACAATTGTTAGGTCACAGAAAAATGACAACTGTTTCTTAAATGTTTCTTTTCAAAAGACTGATAAAAACTATCAGTGAGGGGCGCCTGGGTGGTGCAGTCGGTTAAGCGTCCGACTTCAACCAGGTCACGATCTCGCGGTCCGTGAGTTCGAGCCCCGCGTCGGGCTCTGGGCTGATGGCTCAGAGCCTGGAGCCTGTTTCCGATTCTGTGTCTCCCTCTCTCTCTGCCCCTCGCCCGTTCATGCTCTGTCTCTCTCTGTCCCAAAAATAAATAAACGTTGAAAAAAAAAAAAAAAAAAAACTATCAGTGATTACTTACTAAAAAAAAAAGTTTTGGAAACTATGTCTGTACAGCTGTTGAAAAATATTGGTATATTAGGCTAAATAATGGCTTCCAAAAGATGTCCATGTCCTAATCCCTAAAACCTGTGAGTATGTTATGTTATATGACAAGGGAAAAGCAAGGTTACACACGAAATTAAAATTGCTAATCAGATGACCTTAAAATAAAAAAGATTAACCTGAGGGTGCCTAGGTGGCTCAGGTGGTTGGGCGTCTGTCTGACTCTTGGTTTTGGCTCAGGTCATGATCTCACGGTTCCTGAGTTTGAACTCGCATTGGGCTTCCGCACTGATGTGCAGGGCCTACCTGCGATTCTCTCTCTCTTCCTTTCTCTCTGCCCTTCCCTTGCTCGTGCTGTCTCTCTCTCTTTCAAAATAAATAAAAAAAAATGCTACAAGATAAAAGATTATCCTGTATCACCTGGGGTCCAATGTATCTAGAGAGATCCTTAAACGAGAAAAACTGAGGCAAGAAAGTCAGAACCAGTGACTTCTGGCCCTGAAGATCAAAATGGGCATAAACCAAGGAGTGCAGGTGGCCTCTAGGAGCTAGAAAAGGCAAGAAAATGGATTCTCCCCCAGAGCCTCCAAAAAGCAGCATAGCCCTGCTGACCTTGACGTTAGCCCAGTGAGACCCATATCAGACTTCTAACCTCCAGAACTGTAAGACAGAAGCACTATTTCAAGCCATTAAGTTTACATTAATCTGTTACAACAACAATAGGAAACCAATACACGTGGTGATTCTGTTGCTTTTATGTTTTCATTTATGCCTTATTTCTTAAAAATGCAATTTCTAACTTACAAAGAGATTAAAAAGTTATAACCTTTTACTACATAAAAGCAAGTTAGGTTTTTAACCTAAGGACTATCAGTTTTCAAAAAGTTAAAATGCTAATAGTCTATATCACACAAAAATTAAAATTTAAAATGAGGCTTATCCTTCATTTCTAGTCCAGAGATTGACTGTTTATTCCAATACTGTGCGAAGTGCTTATGGCGTTTATTCATTTGCTCAATAAATAATGTGACTACTTTGTAGTAGGCAGGGTTCTAGGCACTGAAGGACATGATGAAAGGCAGGCAAGGTCCAGACTCTTACTACCTTCTGCTGGGAAGGGACAGACCTTAACAAGTAAACAAAGGAGATCATTTCAGATAGTTTTGTTTTTAATTTTTTTTTAATGTTTACTTTTGACAGAGAGCGTGCACACAAGCGAGTGTGGGGGAGGGGCAGAGAGAGAGGGAGACACAGAATCCGAAGCAGGCTCTAGGCTCTGAGCTGTCAGCACAGAGCCCGACATAGGGCTCGAATCCACGAACTGTGAGATCATGACCTGAGCCCAAGTTAGATGCTTAACTGACTGAGCCCCCCGAGGTGCCCTTCATAGGATATGGTATGATGAAGAAGAGTGGAAATGCGGGGCTTTGGGCAACTTCAGATATAAAGTGGCTTGTTTTAGCTCACACCTGAAGGATAGGAGCCAGATATGAAACAACACTGCTTAAATTCTTTCATTAAACCATCCTCAGAACTAGCCACAAATCTCATCCAAACCAAGCTCACAATTTTATAGTCACTTTCATTTTTAGCCACCCTTTTTCCCCCTCTCCAAAATGGTTTGACTCTCTCTCATGAGTCACCCTCCACCAGGCTTGGCTACCAATAACCTCTGATCATTTCCAACCATTAAATGGCTATCTAGTTCATTAATCAAAAAATGTGCTGCCACTTTATTTTTTTTATTTAATTTTTTTAGATTTTATTTTTAAGTAATCTTTATACCCAACATGGGGCTCAAACCCACAACCCCGAGATCAAGAGTTACATGCTCCACTGACAGAATTCGCCAGGTGTCTCTGTGCCACAACTCGAAAGGCACGTGTACCGGAGTCAGGAAATTTCAGTTTTGCTGCTTCGTCAATAACTGGCTTTGTAATCTTGGGCAAGTAATTTGACCTCTTCCAAAATTTGATTAACTCATCTATAAAGTAAACACAACGCCTCACTAATCAAAATCCCAACAAGATCTTTTTACAAACATAAAAAGTTGATATGCAAAATCTAGAAAAGGAAATGTAAAAAAGAGCTACAAAATTTTTAAAGAATACCACCAGTAGCCCTTGTTATCCAAATTTCAAGACATACTGTAACGCTATAGTTGTGTTAGTATCAGAGCAGGAACAGAGAAATATATAAGAAAAAACATGTACAGGTCACGTCAATGTTCAACAACACTCACTCAACATATACTGACCACCTATTATGTGCCAGGCAAAAAGAAGACAGGGGAAACTTAGGAAAAGAAGGAGCTTATTAATCAAATAGCACTGTGTTGTAGAAAGGACCTTCCAGAGAGGAGAGAGGGTATATATGAGAACATAAAAACAACAAACAGGGGCGCCTGGATGGCTCAGTCAGTTAAGCATCTGACTCTTGATTTTGGCTCAGGTCATGATCTCACAGTTTGTGAATTTGAGCCCCGCGTTGGGATCTGCATGAACAGCGTGGAGCCCGCTTGGGATTCTGTCTCCTCTCTCTGACCCTCCCCCACTTGCCCTCTGTCTCTCAAAATAAATAAAAACTTTTAAAAAATGTAAAAAAAAAAACCAACAAATACACTGCCGAGTTTGAGGAGAGTAAAGAAAGAGGTAGGCAAGGATCAGATGGCCATTTCAATGTCACACTTCATCCCACAAGTAAAGCAAGGTCACTGACAGGCTTTAAGCAAAGGAAAGATGATCATATTTTAGAAACATGACTCAGAGGGCCATAAGAGAGAATATGGAGAAGGGGTAAAAGACTAGAGACTATTTAAGAGATTTTTGCTAGAGATGGTAAAAATCCTGAATCAGGGACATGCAGACAGAAATGAGGAGACTCAACAGAACATAGTAGCTGACTGGATGAAAGAGGACAGAGGACCTGAGGTCTCCTCCAGACTTCTATCTGGTACACAGATAACTGGGTGGATGGGAGCACCATTCCTCCAAGGTAAGGGAAACAAAAGCAAGCTTATGGTAGAAGAAGGTATCAACTTCAAGTTTCTTCTAAATTTAGCCCTACGATACCAAAAGCTAAGCAATTAATAAATAACCTTTTACCATAAGTAATCATGATAAAATATTTACCTGTTCTTCGTTCACTTTTAACGCTCGTATTTGGGTCTCCAGTGCTTTTATTTGTGCTTCAAGTTGTAGCTCTCTCTCTTTTCCATTCTGAAAGAGTTTCTGTGATTCTCGGAGGCTGAGGGTCAAACCTTCCTTTTCATCTAGAACATTAAAAATGTTTATATAAATAATAAGTTACTGTACAGGGACCCCGATTGTAACAATCTCTATCAAATATCAGATCCATATCATACAAATGTTCTGTTCCATTTAGATAGTGAACTTCAGCGGATTTAGAGAAAACCAGGAAAGCTCCAAAAAAGAATGCCTGAGTGACACCAAAAAAACTGAGAGAAACACAACCACTTCCTTCAAAAATCTTCCCTTTGGGAACCACAAGATTTCCTAACAATGATTTCAGCATTTGTTTACTTGAGAAACTACATAGATGTGACAAATCTCTGTTAATCAAAGAAGGGATCTGAGGACTATTAACTTTTTATATGTACTTGCAATGAACTCTTAAATTCACCTAATCTTAAATTCTTCCCACATACTTTACTGTAACCGTTCACAAGTTCTTCTCTCAAAAGAAATTTTATGAGCATTACAGAAAAAGACCTTTTCACTATCAATTATGTTTGAAACAAGTTCGAGTTCAGTCACAAAATTATTCTACAAATGAAAAGTTCAACATTGACCAAAACTACAGAAACCATGAAGAGTAAGCAATTATAATTTGAATCTGTGTTTACTCTATGTGCTTTTCCCAGCAATGACTCCATTTTCTCCTTGGCACTTCCAAAGGAGTTCAGGATCACTAACTCTTACTTGGACTCAAATCTTATGTTAATTTGTAGGCTTAGAAAATGTATTGCAAACTAAACACAAGTCTCTTTAGGAATTGGAATACTTCATCCAAGGTAAACTACATAAGGAGTCAACAACTTATTAGGACAGAATGCTACCAGCATAAAGGATGTTCACTGATTCTAAAAGCCTGATAGAAGAGTAAGAGGGAGAAAATGAGGATCTCGAAATAATATGTTCTGGAGAGAAGTAATCCAAGGCCAGGTGTCAAAAGTCCTGGGTTTTTGTTTCATTCTGACTCATTATGAGCCCTCCGACCTAGGGCATCCACTCTCTAAGCTTCATATTTATTTTTTTTTATTTTATTTTTTTAACGTTTATTTATTTTTGAGACAAAGACAGAGCATGAACGGGGGAGGGTCAGAGAGGGAGACACAGAATCCGAAACAGGCTCCAGGCTCCGAGCTGTCAGCACAGAGCCCAGCGGCCGGGGCTGACCGAACTCCACAGGGGACCTCAAAGATGCGTGACACCTGAGCAGTTGGCGCTCAACCCTGGCCAACCCCAGAAGCGCCAGCTCATATTTGAAAGTGGGCTCTCAGGGGAAGCCTGGGTGGCCTATGTATATTCGGTCGACTTCAACCGGAATCGACTCTGCGCTCCGTGAGTTGCGAACCCACACAGACTCTGGGCTGATGCTCCAGAGCCTGGAAACTGTTTCTTCGATTCTCCTCTCCTCTCCCCCACTTCATGGCTACTAGTCATCTCTCTTAAAAAAATAAATAGCGTTGAATATAAAAATTTTTTAAATAAAAATAAAAAAAAAATAAAGTGAGGCTCTCAGAAACAAGATGTATAGCTCTAGTGCACCTCATAAATGACAGCACCCAACAGGTGTCATCTTACCTTTGACTATCAGAAGCTGGTGATTCAGATATCTAATTTGATGCTCACTTTCATTTAACTTTTCAACTAAGTTGTCTAGTTGTCTCTCTTTTGCTTTGTTAAGAACCTGAAGTTGGATAATCTGCATATTTTCTGCAGAATCTGCATTGAAATTAAAGACAATTTATTAGATAAAAGCAAACACAAATGTAAATTTGTGGATACAACTCAGTATCATGAAATCAATTCAATTGATTGAAACTAGCATTAAAAAAAAAAGACAGACAATAATGTATCAGAGTGCATCATGTAGTATGAATAATGATTATTTTGTCAAACTTGTGTTTTAGTTATAGATACTTATTTACATAGGTATATATTATAAGACCTCAACACAATGTAAAAAATGTACTTCTTACTGTGGTCACTGCCAGACATGTTTAAAAGTCTGGTCTAGAGTAGAACCCTGAATCACTACCATTTTGACTAATTAAAGATATGCATATACCAATTACAATGGAATAGAGTTCTATGCTCTCATAAAATTGAAAAAAAAAAAGTACATCAGCTTCTATAAAGCCATTTCTAAAGAAAATTTCTAGACATCCTTCTCAAAATTTATTTTAAACAGGAGTGGGAATTAAATTGTATTCACGTTCATGGCAACACATAACTGTCGCGTTAATAAATGAACAGATTAATAAAGAATTTTGAGGTCTTCTTTCAGAAATGATTCAAGTCATTTTAGGGACCACTTAAAAATGACTGGGGGGGGGGCGCCTGGGTGGTGCAGTCGGTTAAGCGTCCGACTTCAGCCAGGTCACGATCTCGCGGTCCGTGAGTTCGAGCCCCGCGTCGGGCTCTGGGCTGATGGCTCAGAGCCTGGAGCCTGTTTCCGATTCTGTGTCTCCCTCTCTCTCTGCCCCTCCCCCGTTCATGCTCTGTCTCTCTCTGTCCCAAAAATAAATAAACGTTGAAAAAAAAAATTAAAAAAAAAAAATGACTGGGGGAAAAAGAAAAAAATGACGTGTAGGAGAAGGATAGTACTTCAACAACAAAATGACACACATTCTTCATTTTCTACTAGAACAATGCCTCTACTTGCTAACAACCAACACAATCTTCTTTTTTAAAAGAAAAATGGTTAAGACCAAAAGAAAACCGTGAAGACTGGAAACTTTGTTACAAGTCAGACTAAAAAACGGAGGTAGCTCAGGAATTAGCAATCTACAGGCCACACCTCTCTCCAAAGTCATTTTTTTTAACTACTGTTGCTAAACTGTAATCACTAAATTCAGCACTACCATGCCATTAGGTTATTTCATTAACTTCCAAATGTCAAATTTAGGCAAACGTGTAACTTACTTAAACAAAAATAAATAACTAAATGAACCGACTTGATAAAATGCAGACTGTTAAGAAACTGATATAAGGTTATATGTGCAGAAAGGCCGAGAGACAGAAATGTAACTGAACACAGTGCAGCTGGAAGAGCAAATACCAAGATGTCAGGCCACTGGCGTGATGCTTATTTACTCAGCCCAAGCCAGTTATGCCACACACGCTGTCCACTTCCTCATCTCCTCATTCCACAGCACCTTCTGAACAAAGAAGGGGTCCCCATATTTGCCATGGACGCCTTCAGGGGAAACTGAAGCCTGGCTCCCCCTGGAACTGTCCTGCAGCCCACGTGTATGGTGGACATAGCTCTCTGAAGGTGGGGCATGAAGTCCAATTTCCTTGGTGTAGCCCAGGGAACCCAGAATAGCCAAAATGACCTTCCCCCTGCTTCTTGAATGTACAACAAACAAAAAACCTGCTGTCACACTTAGAATCACACTGGCTCTTCCACATGCATAATAACTAGAAGTTATCTCACATGTCGGAGAGTGTGACAATAAAAGCGAAGTGTATGAAACACTCTTTCAGGTGTTTCAGTCGCAGCGTAAGTTCTGCCTTTTGGTTTTGGAGGCTTCATCTCCTCAACATTCTCTAGTCACACTTCTCACTCTCATATTTATACATGCACTATATATGAGGAATTCTTTTTTTGGCAAGTGCCACATGACTAACCCTGAGATAACTCCAGTTTAAATTCTTAACAATTAAGTACTTTATATCAGAGTTGTCTAATTATTACACTATAACTCTAAAAAATTCAAAGAAAAAAGATGATAATGGCTGATTACTAAATTACATTTCTGTGTGGTAATAAAAAATCTTAGATTGAAGAGAAAACTATAGTTCATTTTCTAAATTAGACTTCAGTAAGAAAAATAAGAAAAATATGTATCTAATGAAAAGTCTTTACCAACTAGAATGACTGAAACGTACAGTTGAGAAGAACTTCTATTAATCTTTTATTATAGTAAGTTTCAAATATGTAAGGTAGAGAGAAGAGTGCAATGAATCCCATAGACCCATCACCCAGATTCAACAATTATGAACTCATGGCCAGCCTTCCTTCAGCTACATCTCCACCCAACATTACCCCAAACAACATATTATTTAAAGTACATCCAAGACTTCATATCAGTTTATTCATACATACTTCAGGATCTCTAAAAATAAGGGGACTTTAAAAAAAA